CAGGTTTTAACTTGAAGATACTGGTGAGGACATGTTGAGTTCACCAGAGTCACTTTTATCACTGACTTTATCAACCCTGTGCCTCTATGTTACTTTCTGCCGGCTTGGTTGAGCTTGTGAAATGTCTTGTGAAAGGGGCTTTACTCAGGATTTCTGTTCTTACACAGGACCTTTCCTTTTTCAGTGTGGTAACTGCTTGACGGACCGGCCTGACAACAACACAGGGACACCCTCCTGTCACAGACATAAGTATGGGAGCGAAGGTCAGACATCCTCCCATTTCTTCCTCCAGCACTTCATGAATGAAATCCCTCCCTGCTGAGCGGTGAGTCCCGGATATCGTTTAGATTAAGTCTGCAGTCCTCCATGTATTCTCACTTGTGTTTGTTTTATAATTGATTTATTCATCCACTTTTCTTTCAATAATAAACTATTTAATGTGCAATTCCTGTGAGTTCCTGTGATGAAAGATTCATACTGTCGATTTTTAGTTTTCACCTACACTTTAAAAGTCTTCATCTGAAAGCACTGGTTTGGTTGGCGCAGTAAAAACAACATTTTCCTGTCTGGTTTTCTAATATAAAATATGAAGAATATTTAATTTGACTGATGAGGGTCATTATTATAAAGATAGTGTTTTTGTTTGTTTGGTAAGTACATGTTAAGTACATCTTGTCAGTCAGAATGAAATATCCTGATGTAGAGTACTTTGAAAAGTGCACTCATATGTCATCATAAACCACATTATTATGATTTACCATTTAGATTCATTCTGAAGATGTTAGATATTACCAGGCATCTGAGGAAAAGTACAACCGGGTCATGTACAAACAAATGTTTTCTTTTTCACAGATTTGACACCACATAAAAAAGAAGACAGTTAAAAAAAGGGGAAGTGGCAAATTTACTGAATCTCAAAACTCAAAACTGCTTTGTGTGGTCACACAGCTTTCTCCTTCCCATTTTTATTCAACCACCAAACCTACAACTGCTTTTAAGAGAAGCACATTAAATCACATTTTTGACCATCTTTCCCACATTTTCACACCGACTCATCTATCTGGGTGAAACAGACCAAAATGCCACTGAAGCAAAATGACATGTTAAACATGACGACCAACGTTTACCATCCAACCTGACAGCACTGGAGAGGATCTGCAAGGAGGAATGGCAGAGGATCCCCAAATGCAGGTGTGAAAAACTTGTTGCATCATTCCCAAAAAGACTCATGGCTGTATTAGCTCAAAAGGGTGCTTCTACTAAATACTGAGCAAAGGGTCTGAATACTTATGACCATGTGATATTTCAGTTTTTCTTTTTTAATAAATCTGCAAAAATGTCAAACATTCTGTGTTTTTCTGTCAATATGGGGTGCTGTGTGTACATTAATGAGGAAAAAATGAACTTAAATGATTTTAGCATATGGCTGCAATATAACAAAGAGTGAAAAATTTAAGGGGGCCTGAATACTTTCCGTACCCACTGTATGCTCCTTACTTAATCCTCATATGCAATTAAATATCAATAAAACAAGACATTAATAAAGCACCAGTGCAATAATAGCAACACTGTGAAACAAAGGCATGTGTATCCCCTGTTTGAAACAATGTAAACTGCCATTATTATTAAATGTGTCACTAAACATAAAGATTATGACTGATTTCAAAACTGATTGAGATTTACTTGTGTTTTTTCACTGTCTGGGTCCTCCAGCCAGCTGTATGGGTCCGGTACTTTATAGCCATGATAGTCGTCCACCTGAAAGGTTAAACAGTAGTGAAGAGTGTTAAAATACTGACACAGCTAGGTGTGGCATCCACAAACAAGGAAGATCTGACCTACCAAGCTGGCATGTTCAGGGTGGTTAGGAACATTAACCAAATAACAAAAATAAAAAACGTTAGCTAATTAGCCTCATATGGAATCTATAGTAGATCACGGGTAACTGGAAAAGACTGCTCGTGCATTTGTCAACAAAGTCAACCTAGGTTGCCAGACCTGGCTAAGCTAACTAGCATGCTAACAAAGCAGACACTGATTTCAATGAATGAAAAAGCGTGATGATTAAGCATCCCAGCTCATTAGCATGCTAGGCTACTTAGCTAGCTATAGTTACTTACAACTGCTTCGTCACGGTAAGCCTGGGGGTATTGAAAAGCCATTATGGAGGCCAGATTTCGGGAACTGCGTTACAAAAAAAAAGTTCTCTCAGAGAGTTAAACGGTTGTTGTGGAATTACTCTCTGGACCCTGTGTAAGTTGCAGAAGCTCTGTGTAGAAAAGAAGCTATACTTACACACAGTCAACAAGCATTTTCAGGAGAATAACTTTGGCTGCCGCATAGCAGCCCAAGTGTTAGAGTGCCCTCTTTTGACAGAAAATGGCAACAGCACCTAGAAGTCCCGCTGTGTACATTGGTTTACCTTATAAACCATGTGGACTTAAGGCTTAACATTACACTTTAATATAAAATAACTGAAGAATTAATGAGGATAATCTGACTCTTTTGATATGCAATAAAGCAATAAATGGAACAATAAGCTTTGCTATAACATTAGGGCAATTTAGCATTCTCCTATACATGCAGGCCTGCTGTAAAACATATCATTAATTGTGACAAATTTATTTTGACTATGAATAAAGTAAAAAAAATATTGAAATATATCATGACTAATACCTTTTATCTTTTAATGCATTTACTACACTTTACATACTATTGTGTGCAGTAGGCTATATTTCATTAAGTGTTTTGTTGCTGGTGTAAAAGTTAACTCTGAAAATACTGTGCTTAAATTCAAAACAAAGGTTTATAATTTTCTGACATGAACCAAGCTTTAATCAAATTACCTGTACTCATGTTGCTCTGGAAACATTTTAGTGTCTTATTATTAGCCAATATTTCAGGTATAGCACCTATTTCATTTTAAATGATTTGGCTTAAAACAAAGCTGGTAAAAAGAACTAAAGCTCAGGGTGATGCTTTTTGTTTTAATTCTTTGCAGTTTTGTATTTATTCTACTTTCAGATCAGAAAATAAAGACACAATCCAAATCATAGCTGCACCTCACCTTTGATATTGTGAAACTAAACTGTGGACAAAGTGCACTTATATAAAATAGAAATGAAAACAAAGCAATAACAAATCTAAAAAATTAAGTTAAAGTTAAAGCCTCCAGTTAAAGGTTACAAGAGTCCACCGGGACTTTCCATCACTATTCTTATCTATATGACAGAAAAGGAGAGAGGTCAACCTGTCATCCTTCTTTCTTTCTGCTCATCATCTTCCCCTCCCTTCCTTCCTCTCTTGACTTAATCAATCAATCCTGATTTGACCATCATTAACTTTGGCACCTACTCTTACACAGTGACTGATAGCATGAGATAAGGCTCACTGAGGTAGCACATAGGAAATGAATAGATTTTCTAAAGTGAATGATTCATGTCAGACCCTTGACTCTGGACAAAATAAACGTATTTGGTTTAATTTAATGCCTGTTTATAAAAGGAGAAATACTGTTTTCCAGCAGCTATTGAATGGCCGACTCATTGCATTTGTTGTGTTATTCTTCTGTGATGCCACATCGTGACTTTCATTCTACAGCTATGCATTTAAGAGCCTCAAGACAGCTTTAATTACACAACATTGCTGCAGTTGAAAAGGAAACACATTTTTGGATACCACTGCTGATCACACAGTCAGATGTCAGATTCCAAAATGGTGTTATTTTCAGATTTGGCTTGAAGTGTGTCAGGCCTCTCATGCCACTGTGCCGGATTTAAGAGGAAGACCAGAAAGCATTCTCTCATGGGTGAATGCACAGTGAAAGTGTGGGGGGAAAAGAGGCTCAGTGTAGGTGGAGAAAAAAAAGGAAATGCTTCACCTGTGTTGTGTTTTTCTCAGTGAAGAACATGTAGTTGTAGATGGATTGTGTCACTATATTTTAAGCCACTGGAATGAGCGATTTGGTCTGGCCTGATGTACTGTGATCAGAAATGTTTGTAGGTCGATGTTTTGGGTCAAAGGATCAGCTCTGCTCCCCCACCCTCAAACTCCATTCTTCTGCCTTTCCTTAAATCGGAGTCAGGAATACCCCTTTATGCAAAGTGGGATCTCTTCCTGTTTGCCTGTGTCAGGCTCAGATATGGGTCACAGGGCTATTGTCCCCTGACATCTCTGCTTCCCTAACAAACAGAGGAGGGAAAACACTGACACTTTGAACGAGCATGTTTGTACTTGCATTGAAATATGGACCTTGTATGTTCATAGAATGGGTAGGTTCATGCATTTGTGTGCTGGACTGGGCTGGAAGTGTCTATGCATGAATTAGACCTCCTTCTCCTGTTTTCCTCCATTGTCCAGAGTCAACAGTGATCTGTCCCCCGTAGTCGGAAGCACCTGCCTCTGCTGCTGCGCACAAAGAAGGATGACCACCTGTTGTGATTCACAGCACACAGGGTTACTAGCAGGTTAACTCATTCATAAATCTCTAAGGCTTCATGCCTAGTGAATCCTGTGAAGCAGTGCCTTTATTTTTTTTTTAGAGGTGTTTGTTGTCCATTTGATGAAATAATGAAGCAGAAAGGAAGCTTCTGGTTGTGCCAGTTAAGGGGGATGAGTAGAAAAATCTAACAACATGAGATTGGATAAGCCAGTTTAATGTAAATAAAATGCACTGTTGCTCAATTAACGGCCTCTTTTATATGCACAGACAAACCCTTTCCTGTGAGCCTCAGTATGTTCACATACTGTACCTTAATAAGCAGGTCAACAACAAATCATGGCAGCAAGCAGCACCTTGACTTACTTTTGATTCTAATTTCTTTCTGCTGCATTATGTCTGCAAAACTGAATTCACAAAAAAACTTTAACATAAATGTGTAAGTCAACCAAAGAATGTTATTCTAAATGTTATAATGTTTAAAACTGTTTGTATTTACTTAATATTGTCACTATTTATCCATATTCTATACCACTCCTACTATAGTATAGTACCGGTGTGTATATATGCCACATACACACATCTGAATCTAGTGTCACAGTTGAGCCACAGCCCTTAAATTTAATAATAGTAATGGAAGGGATCCCATCACAACAAAACAATACACGAGAAATAACCAGGCTGCATTTAGAAACAGAGATCACAGGGAACAGCTTCCTGCCTGTTTCTCTCTTTCTGCTGTTATTAGCCACGGCCAGGATAACAGCCTTTGTCCTGTCCTGTGTGTGATGTGGTGGAGGGTCAGTCCAACATGTCTCCTCAGATGTTCACAGACAACAGGATGTTACTGAGGATCCACTCAGGGAAATTACAGCACCCACTGATGTGACTGATGCACAAAATTATAGGAAATGCTAAATGCATTTGGCAGTGTATGTTTTTTTGCTCACTGAGGTAAAGCTGGGCCTTGTTTTTAGGCTGTTCCAGGTTCAGTAAAGCCCAGGTTAAGCCTAAATACAATTACTTATATCATATGTTGGTCATTGACAAAATAACAACCATTAATTTCTACGTGAGCTGTGCAAACAAGTCCAACATTGGTCACTAGTGACCTAACATCTCTTAGTTTCTGGATGACAGCGAGTCCACATGTAATAAGGTTCTGTCAGTACCTATTCAAACACACACAGTCACAAGTTCATTCATCAGAAAAAAACATATAATAAGAGCCTCTCTAAGACCAAGTCAATCACCCTGAGGAGAAGGGAAGTTTGTCATTGTTTGCACCGATCATGTTGAAAAGGAACGAGAGCACTCAGGTTACTCAAAGCTGACATGGTGAAAGAGCCAAGGATAAAAGGACAGAAACTTTTAGGTGTAGAGAGCCTTTAATTGCTTGTGAATGTACCACGTTATATTCACACTGATGGTAAACTATTGTAAGAAATTTAAGTTAAAAGAAAAGCTGACGTCATAGCCTGAAAATTAATCTTTATCTTTCATTCAGAGCAATTTGTATCTCTGCTCGGACACTGTGTTTCCCAGCTCACCAAAGTGCACTCTTTCTCCAGTCCAATCACACAGCGACAGAGAGACTTTTCATGTTTTAGAGAGACTTCTTTGTCTTAATTATGTAGGTAAGTGCATACTAAGTGGGAGAACAAAGCTGAGATCTTAATGACACTTTGACTTCAGTTGTAGAAATGTATTGTAATCACTGAGTCTGCACTGACCAGGGAAACAGGGCTGCTGAAAAATACAAGTTTCCCCTTGTCATTACACAAACACATTCCACCTATGTGTGTTCATCATCTCCTGCCTTGATGTCCCTTTTCTCTGTCTTTGAACCTCACCTGCTTTGTTTTCAGGGTTTGAAGAGGAGAAGGAGGAAGCAGGGGAGAAAATGAACGTATCTTGTGTGCAGACGGATATCACCCTTTTAAAAACAAAACAAATATGTGTGTGTGCGTGCCCTGTAATTTTGCTGTTGACATGTGCACTTACAGTGGGGATCTGGGACACTGGTAATGACTGGTGCAGGTAACAATGGAGACAGGTGGAGGACGGCGCTGTCTGAAAGAGAAAGAGACTGTGTGTCTGTGCGTGAGCAAGTAAGGATGTCAGACATGAACTGAGATGTGCAGACAGACACAGTGGCACCTGGTGATGTCATTGATATTGTCACTGAGTGGCACTAAAGTTCCCCTTTTACAATGGACACTATTTCTGAGCAGTTGTTTCAAACAAAACACACTGTACTCTTTTTGTGTCTTTGCTCAATCAAGTAATTATAATAATGCACCAGTATCATCAACACACATGTCCATGACTGCAACAAGTATATCTGAAAAACTGTTTAACATTTTGAGGAATATACGATTCGATTTCTTGTAGAATTAGGGGAGAAGACTGCTACCACTCTTTATTTGTGCAGCCAGGAGATGGTTAGCTTAGCTTAGCATAGCATAAAGGCTGGAAACAGGAAAAACCAGCTAGCTCTGTCCAACACAAGTCTTTACATTTGTTTTACACTCAGAAAAAACAAGATGTCTTCATTTGTAAGGTGCTAATATTGATTTTTATTTTTTTAAATGTTAAAATGTTTTTACAGATTTTTCAACAAAACTAAACCAGTTTTACCCTGCTTCCAGTCTTTATGCTGCACTAATCTACACTGATCAGCCATCACATTATGACCACCTGCCTAATATTATGTTTACAGGAGTCAATGCAGCAGTTGGTGGGCATTTGTGTCACTCTGAGACTCACAGTAAATCTTGTGTGTTATACTGTCTGAAAGAGCATAAATGTACCTAGCATTTAGTGATAACACCACGTTAAAGGAGTGAAAGCTGTGGTGGTGAGGACAAGTTAGATATAATTTTTAGACAATTCAACAGCCTCCCCACTCCAGGTGTGAGATCACAACTATAGCCACTGAATGTTTCTCTTCAAAGAGACCAACGTACAGTATTTCTCATTTTCAAACATTTTAATTAAGATTCAATCAAACTGGAATCTTTTGAAAAGGATGAATGAAATGTTATTCTACATTAGGTCAACCTCATCATCAGTGAGCCTTGGGGGTCCATGACCCTGTGGCCAGTTCATTGTTTGTTCTTTAAGATTCAATCAAACTGGAATCTTTTGAAAAGGATGAATGAAATGTTATTCTACATTAGGTTAACCTCATCATCAGTGAGCCTTGGGGGTCCATGACCCTGTGGCCAGTTCATTGTTTGTTCTTCCTTAAACACTGTTGGTAAGTACTGACCACTACAGACCGGGAACACCCAACAAGACCTGTAGACTGGAAGACGCTCTGCCCCAGTTGTCAAAGCCACTCAGATCCTTATGCTTGCCCATTTTTCCTGCTTCCAACACATCAGCTTTGAGGTCTTGCTGTCTAATATACCCCACACACTGATTGGTGCCACTGTAATGAGAAAATCAGTGCTATTCACTTCACCTGTCAGTGGTCATAATGTTATGGCTGATCAGTGTATATTTACCATATAGGTATGTGATCTTTTCTGTTTTTTCTTTTTTTTTTTGTCTAACTCCCAGCAAGAAAGCAAATAAGAGATTTCCTAAAATGTCAAAATATTACTTTCAGCATTGTAAGTACTCATGGAAAGAATGTGAACTTTACAGTGGGTTTACGTGATGCCGATAGCACTTTTATCCTATCTTCTCTGGCCATCATGACTGATGCAGTAACACTGCTTTGCTGAACAGGTTTCACCTGAATTGCTTCATTTGGTTGATTACAATGACATTTTTAAAAAAGGATATTTTGGACTGTGAATACAACAATCAAGGTGAAATTCATGTCAGTATTATTTATAGCAGTTTAACCTCTAGAGTCCTGAGCTTTGGAAAGGCAGAGAGAGAGGTTGTATCTAATCTAAACCATGCCTCTACACCACTTCTGGCCGTTGACTCTCAAAAGAACACGGGGCTCACAGCAAGGAATGTGCATGCATGAATACTCATACACACGTGCATACTCTATGAGCTCCTACAGGGATGACAGTTAGCCTTCCTGTATGACTGTGTGTGTGTGTGAGGCAGAGAGAGAGAGAGCAAGAGGGAGAACTGTGACTGCATGAGTCAGGTTCACCTCTATTTGTTCCACGGCCTTCCAGATACAGCAGAAATCTGAGAACGGGAGCTACTCACAGCTGACCCGGCTACCTGCTCCTGACAGACAGATAATGGACAGATAACACAAACACCCATCAACATCACGTCACCATTACTTAAGTAAAAATGTTCTCTTTTTTTCAGTTAAATAAAACCTCTTAAGCGCTGCAGGATATGTAAAAGAGAGTGTGTGTGTGTTTGTGTGAATAGATGAGCGAGTGCATGTGCATCCTTCCCAGATGACGCACCTCACTGTTGGTCATTACTACAGTTTGCCTTAGTAATCAAGAGGAAGACAAAACAATGTGAGGAGCCTTTTAATACAGTCAGGTGTGGTTCCGTGGTGTTCGGCACTTCCTCTTAAAAAGTCACTCCTAGTTTTCCAGGTAACACGTTAACTTTTAAGCTTATCATTTTAGGACTGGATCAAAAAAACTAATTGTCTTGGACAAGGCTCACACAAAACCCAGCAAAAATAAATAAAAATGTATGTATATTATGTTACAATAAATAAATAAATATCAACATTAAGTAAGAATGAACAAAAAATGTATCTAATCTAAACCATGCACAGGTTTAATGTGATTATTATGAAAAATAAATCATTATTTCAAAGCAATAACTTTTTTTTTTACACCACTTCTGGCCGTTACAACTGATTATAGTGAAGTAGACCAGGCTTAGTCAGCAGCTGCACATTCAGATGTTTCAGACTGAAACATTATGCAATTACACAAGTTTCGATTAAACTCACCATTACAGTCAAAGTTGACTCCAGAACAGCCCATGAGTTCATTTCATAATCATCATAGTCATATCATACTAGTGTTAAGCTGTAGTCAGCACTACCAATTGTAATTAATATTTGGTTTCAATTTAACTAATTTAAAGCCAGAGTTGTAGGGCTTAATTCTACAAAATTTAAATTATAAAATAATAATAATAGCCAAGGAGCATGATTAGATTTTCTGGCATTAAAATGCACCCTTGCTTTGTCATTAGTGTTGGACATTATCTATCATTCACAGGTTACAGACTTCAGTTATGTAGGTCAGCTGAGTACAGGGATAGTGTTTTCTCCTCACCTCTGTGGGTGGCTTTGTCAGGATTTGAAAAGACATCTGTTGTGAAGTGTGGTAGCATTCCTCTTAGCCCCTGAAACCACGATAATAACGCTCGGTCTGTCAACAGGAGATCATCATCCAGTTGAGGGGAGATGGCTGGTGGACTAGGTGGGTGGTGGAGTGCTAACTTTTATTCACCTTCACACCTAAAAGCAAAAGAGGACAGGAAAGAGACAGAGAAAGATGGGCTATGTCACAGTTTCTGACCATGTTGCCCATGTCAAGCATAAGCTGAATACTGTAGAGTGCAGGGTAAGGCATGGTAAAAGAAATCAGTTAAAGTAACATGAAATGAATGGGCAGGTTGATGAGGCTGACAGGCTGATAACAGCACAGTATGGTAGGGAAAAAGTGATGGTGACACGGGTAAGAGTATAGCTGTGACAGTATGCAGAAAATGTTTTGTTGAGTCGGCCATAAAGGAAGGCGGAGGTGGAGGCTGTGTCAAACATTCCCTTGGTAATGGGTTATATACTGTAGTAAAATGGACTTAGTCAGTCATCTCTGCCAAAGATCATTGTTCTCATCCTTGGGGGAGGCGACAGGGAAGGAGTGGCTGAAATGACCCCAGGCAGGTACAGACTTAAGCATGGAAATTACAGGGCTAAAGCTACCTATGCCATTTACAGCCTACAGATAGCTCTCTGTGGCTGCTATAGGCGTTCATTGTTAACCAACTGTACTGCCGTCTTTCCATTTTATGTAAAATGCTGTCATTATGTGAACTACTCAAACAGTACAGATGACTAATAGTTGTAGTAAAGAGAAGTTTCAGATATAGAGGCATTAGAGAGGGTGAGGAGGAAGTGGAGGAGAAGAGAGCTGAATAGAAGGTGATGAATGAGATGACTGAAGGCAAAGAGAAAGAGTGAAACAGTGGGAGAAGTGGATTTTAAATTACATGGTGGCTCATGTCAGCAGTCGTAATTAGTAGCTTGGTCAGGTGTGGTGAGTGGGACAGGAAGCATGAATAGAAGGACAAAACACCACAGAAACAAAGGTGAGTCTAAGAGGAACAGAAGCCACACCGACACATCTCACCGCAATATGGACTTCACTGAAGCTGAGAAAGGAAATGAGGACAGTGCATAAATGCACTTGACACTCAAAGACATTCAAGACAGGGCTGTTGTTCACACTATGGCACGTGTCAAGCACATGGATGATTGGTATGAAAATTCAAACTATTCATAAGCTGGCTGGCCGCCTGCCAAGTCAAATGTTGGCTTTATCAAAAGGGGAGAGTAGACTAGAGTGAAAGCTGGGCTACAGACAAGCTTACAGCATGACACAAGTATCCACACATTCTGGCGCATAGATGGACAGCTGGAAGAGATAACAGGATAAAATCCTTCTTACATGCATCAACAAGATTTCCTTAATTTATTTGTATATATTTCTGCTTATAATGATTGGTAATGGCACAGCTTCATGTTGCATGCCTCTCTATCTGAACCTTTATTTAGAGCAGAACTGGCCTAAGCACAGAGAGGAAGAGAATAAAAGGAAAAGCCCTGAAAACCAGAAGAAAACTTTAGGTTATAACAACCTTGGCAATCTCACAAGCAACCATGTAGACTTTTGACATTACAAACCAAAAACTGTCATCATCTCAAATCTAACTGTTAATTCATAAGAGACTACAAATAGTTCTCTATTACTATTTTGTGGCATATTAAATGTGCAACTGCTTCTCATCTCTTATCTTCCTAAAGGTCAGTATTAATAAGTGTCTGTATCACTGAGTCAAACAGGAAACACTAATACAAAGAGTGGAAATAATTGTGTCTGCATATGTTGCTGCCGTGAAGCGCTGGATATTACATTTCTTTACATTCAAGTAAGTCCTTTTAAACTGACCAGCTGCATAATACACAAGAAATGTGATCTGTTTTAAAGCCTATTACAGAAGAGGCGTTCAGTGGTGATCACGAATTGTTATCTCTGGAACTGTTCGTGTGAATTATGATGTGACAATAGATTATGTGTTACACTTAATCCTGTATGCAACTCCTGTGACTGAACTGACATGTTTCCAAATCTCACCTTGCACTATACTGTATAAAAATGATCTCATCTCCTCTGTGCTGTTCCCTTGACTTCCGATCACAACACAGGTATGACCTCTTCTCACCTGAAGACAGAGTGAGTGACTGCCAGAAAATGAAGATGTATTTGTCTGTTCCGGACATAGCTGTGTGACAGTGTGTACACCCCCACCCCCCACGCACAGAGAAAACCTCACACCCCCGGGCAAGAGAGTGACACACACACACACACACACTCTCAAAGGAGGAGTCATGGGGTAAAGGGGAGCGGGGGCGGAGGGAGCACAAGAGGAAAAGGGAGTGTATCTCTCTCTTTCTCTCTCAAACACACACACCTTCCCTCCTCCCATGTAAAAAGCAAGATAAAGAGTCACACACTCGAGTGTTCAGTTGCGTAGCCAGTCACACGCAGGTACACAGGATACTGAGGTTGAGTTAGAGACTGAGAGAGAAAGGACAAGAGAGAGAGAACAGCCACTGGTTGCTCACAGACACTCAGGCTTCCAAGGAGGGCACAGACAGCCTGCCCTGTGTGTGGCTCCTCTCAAGGCTTCACAGTAAGTGTGCAACATCCTTCTCAAATCACCTTATTGATCATAATTTAGGCCAGAGATTGTGTTAATTATTCTAGATTATTTACCAGTAAGGGCTGGGTTTTGATTTGATTTCATTCATTGACTTATCTCTCCATTTCTTTACTGCAATATGACACTGTCATGCAAAATGTAATGACAAACTGTGGTAAAATGTGGTTTCTAGAGTGAAACTATCGCATGATGTCCTGCAAAGCACAGCTGGCTGTTACTGTCATGTTTTGATTTTCAGACTATATTTTCTGCTGTATCACTGGGTTTGATGGTTTCAGAGTGAGCTGTCACCCTTGTGACAGTCATTCAGAGCCCAGCTATGTGCCCACACATTTCAGAGAAAAATAAGTGAAACATGTTCCATACATTTCATCACTCTGTGCCTATATCTGCATTTCTTGGTTCTCCCTGAAAAGGGAGGCATTTTATTGTTGTGGTATGTGTGCCATCATTGCAAATATACGTCAGATTACTGGATAAGTTTTAAAAGAATCAGTCTTTTCCATTTAGGTTCACCAAATGAACACTTATTCATACATAACTGTATTTCTTCAGAAGGAAACATTGCAGAAGTCACATGAGTGCTTACTAAATATTTGCAACCACAGAACTTATCTACCACTATCTCAGAGGCAAACTGACGAGCCTTAAAAGGACGTTCAGAAAAGGTATATCTGGGAATTGTCTTTTGATCACAAGCCTTTTATCTCCTTTTGTTTCACTCGTCACTATTTCATCATTTCATCCTATGACTCAGGGGATAGGGGCAGTCAGTGTCAGTCAGTTCTGAGCTACCTGACAACAATCTTCCTGAGAAGGGAGGGAGAGACACTGAGAAACAGAGACAGAAAGAGAGTTGGCTGAGAGCCAGGCCACAGTCAGGTTAGAGGAAATCTGGTCGATTCAGTGGAAGCGCTGGTTTCCTGGTGAAAGTGGTGCTGCTCCGGGGCTGACGTGCACAGGAACCTCCCTTATAGCCCAGAGCTTGTGATTTGGAGAGTCACAGGATGTATGGGACAGTGGGAGCAGTGGGGCAGCAAGCACGAAGGTCCCACTTTGAAGTTTGTTTGTCCGGCAGTAACGGTTGATGGGAATGTTTCATTCTCCACCAGTTCTGCTGTCTTCTCTGTGTCACACCTTGCTCTCGAGAGTCTAGTAATTTAGCACCTTTCAAAATTGGACTTCCCTTGATAATTCAGCTGTTGTTTGTATTGTCTGTCTGTATTTCCCCTTACATAAGAGGAAAATGATGTCTTTGGTTAACAGTTAGATGTCACCCCTATAGCCAGAATTATCTATTCCTTAGAGATATGGAACGGTGGACATTTGACAAACAAGTTTTCCTATGTTATGTCTTTATCTTTGCACCACAGCCATGTTAACCTCAGAAAGGTCACCAAAAAGCTCAGGGGTCATTACAGCAGCACTGCCAGGGACCCAGGATTTAGACATGACATCATGGAGTGAGGCAGACTTTGAGGAGAAGTGCACTTACATTGTGATGGACCAACCTCTGGAAGAGGATCCCAGAAACCAAGGGAAGACACAAGCTGAGAGGTCCTTACCCAGAAACCTTGCCCTGAAACGCCGCCACAACTCAGCAGAGGTACATAGCAAGTTAAACTTCCTTATTTGTGTGGTTGGAGTTAATCAAATTGGCTCTAAAAACAGATTTGTGACTTGTTACCATCATTTTATCTGTAAGTGGTATATGAGCACGTAATGCAGCTGTTTATGTTTTGTGTATCTGCCCAGTCTTTGCGTCACTCCATCCAACATCCTTCCATCCTTGGGTGGGATGTACTTGACATGTTGTTGTCTAATTTCAGCCTTTCCTCTCTGCTATGAATGTGTGGAGGTAAAGATATAGACAACAGCCAAACCCCTCAATACTCAGCCCAAAGTTTCTATTAGTAGCTACCTCTTAGATTCTCAACCCTTTGTCCCAGCACACAATTAAATCATAAAGCAAAGCTGAGGCACTAGGACCCAGCTTTTTAACAACAACATAAGTAAAACTCTGGATAAAGTGTTTGGCGGGACTAGAAAATCACAGGGAAAAGATGAAACCAATGTGGACAATGAAAGAGAAAAAAATTAGGTGTACTCGTGCAAAATCAGGGTAGATGAAAGGTGGTAGTCAGGTGAGATCAGGCATCTGTGGCAAAATATTGTGCTACCACTTTGACCTTCTAATAAAGTCTGTCTGGAGTCTAGTTGACACCAAAGAACAAGATAGCTTACAGTAATCTGTGACACCCGGGCACCTCAAATGATGTTGTCAGACAAAGCCTATGGAAGCAAGGGCAAAGCTAGCTGGATAAACTGGAGGTAAACTGAATGGCTAAGCATGCACTGGTTGAATCAGCTACATATACTATGCCAGTACTGACTGAGATGAAAGACAGCATACATTACCATTGCTTTAGGGGGATTTGAACACAGAGCTCAAGGTGCAGTTGACTGGTCGGGGTGTGTCCTTGACACCTTATCCTCTCTTACCCACCCTGGAGGCTTGAGACAGTTGGGTGAGTTTCACACCTGGAGGTAGCAGAACAAGAGTAGTGGTGAAATTTTAATATGGTAGAGAAGCTACATATAACTCAGGCGATTGATTTATGAAATATTCAGCATGAGAAGGAAGGAACACATTCTGTCACACTGGATCAAATTTCTCATTTTCACAGTGGAAGAGTTGCCTTAACAGCTGATGCACAATAACAGCTATTTGCTGGATTGCTTATTTCCTGTTTCTGGTGACAGTCATTCTCAAGCATAATTTTCTAGTTAATTAACCTTTTTTTTAATCACCCAGAAACAGGGAGGGGATTGATTGTCAGATAAGGAGGATTGTATCCCCAAGAATATCATCCATCTAATAATGTTTTTCAACCCAGGGTGTATCTGGCTGCTGTCTCAGGCCTCCAGTTTGTGAGCTAATTAGTTGTTTGATGATCCAATGTCCCCCTCATTGAACAGGTGCTTGGGGTGACCAGTAAGGAGCTGATTCCTAAGGGGACACGTTTTGGCCCTCTGGTGGGGGAAAGCTACACAAATGAAACACTGCTGAAAGATGCTAACAGGAAGTATTTTTGGAGGGTAAGTGAGCTGCATGTGAGTCTCTGGATGTATGTACTTGCATGTGACATTTGTCTGTTTGTGCTTCAAAACTGTTCACATCCTGTATCTCCATCTGGAGATGCTGCAGTGGCTGTTGTGTAGCACCATTAGCAGTTGTGGTCAATGTCTGACATCCTGTGAAAGTATGACTGTGCTTGCCAGTGCCTGAGTAGTTTAAATGTGCTATTAAAAGTGCATGGTTGCCAGTTGTGTGCACAGTTGACTGAGGTCAAACACACAGCTGTTTGGTTTCAGTGACGTAGCGGTTCTCTTCTCACTCCGCCTCTCTCGGCAGTGGTATCGCTGCCAGTAAACACAACCGTACACATGTCCGCACTTCTCCTGAATCACAACCTCTCACACTGACTAAGCAAGGAAGTGGCTTTGAGCCTGAGAACTGTTAAGTTACAAATCAGCACAAGGACATCTTCCATTACACACAAGCCCCTGTGTAACTCGACACTCAGCGACCTTGATATCATGCAACTCCAATCAAAACTTGCAATAGCCATAACAAAGCTGATCTGTTAATATTACAAACATGACTCAAATAACAGCACAGCTTCAAAGAGCAGATAAAATAATGAGGAGGGAGGGACAACTCTTTAAATTAGTTTTTTAATAAGTCAGCAATTATTCAATTATGCAGTGATGATTCCACTGCAAAGATTATAGGTGAGCGTAGTAGTAGGCGTGATTGTATACTCAGTAGTACAGTCCAGTCATACAGTGAAATACATGTTCAGTGCTTTCAGAACTCTAGATGACTTGTGTGCCGTAAAGACTAGCAGCACCTCTCCTACCTCTACGAACATAGAGTATTTACCATAAAGACATCAGGAAACTTGTGAAAACATGGTTTCAGACTCAAAGCATGTCCCAATAGTTTGTCATCATCAACTAAATTTGATCTTTTCTTGTTATCTCTCTGGTTCCTTCTGTAGGTCTTCGCAGACGGGCACTTACACCACATCCTGGATGCTTTGAATGAGGAGCAGAGCAACTGGATGCGTTACGTCAACCCAGCCTTTACTGCGGAGAAGCAGAACCTGGTGGCATGTCAGAATGGTTTGGATATCTACTTCTACACCATCAAACCACTCAAACCAGGCCAGGAGCTTCTGGTGTGGTACTGCCCTGAATTTGCCCAGCGCTGTAATTACCTTCCACTGGGCCAACTGGCTATTGACAGTGTTGGTAAGTGTCTGAATAATAGTAGTATCCATTCAGGAATGTGTAAGGACTTGTGTTGCCAGAATTAACAGCAACCCTACCTGTGCCCACACTTTGAGATATATCTGGTGTGTATTGTCATTGTGGAGTAAGGCTTCTGATCAAAACGCTGGCAGAATGACACACTCTTTGTGTGGGCGTTTAAGAAGTTACTCAGTCACACCCACAGCCCCTTTGTTAATGTAGAACACAATGGAAGACAGCAGAGTCCTGAAAGCAGAGAGGACCTGTCTCCAGGTGTAGCCATAGTACCAGCGTAAGATGAGACTGATTTCAGGACTTTAGGCAGCGTTTCAGCTTCCCTTTTTCATCTCCACATAAAGCTGACAGCTGATTCACACACAAAACATTTGGCTTTCATTCACAAACACAAAATGTGCACATGTTAACAGAGAGACCACATGCACACACCAAAATCCTGATTTACACGCACGCTCACACACACACACACACACACTCACACAGAAGACGCTGCCTGAGGTGCCGACAGCTTTCTGGCACGACTCCCCTTATTTATTTGACTCTTAAGGAGGAAGCGCTCCAGTGATGATTTGGGCTTCCTGATAAGGCGACCTACTGACAGATTGATATCTCACTGAGTGTTGGCTGTTTGTTTGCTGAGAGCTGGCCTCTAAGAAGAGGAGGGAGGGTAACACAGGGGAGCACACAGTGGATAAGGGGTACTCCGTGTCCGTGCGGGTCGACATCAATTGTGTCAGAGAGCAGATGAAATGCTTCTGTATTTTGTCTTCCTCTGTTTGTCAGCTCATGTCCTTACTTAGTCTGTTTCCTCGTGACTTCCTGTATTCAGAAATTCAAATTTAGATTCACATTTCCTAGACTTGACCTATGTGTGGAATTCAGTGGAAAATAAATATTATTTATAGGCCAGTTCATGTGCTGTCACTGGTGTATTTTGCACCCTATCAAGCATATTTTATTACTATTTTTGTGTGAATGTGTAGTTCGCCAGTCATTTTCAGATAAAAGGTCATTTCTTAGTCTGTACATCCTGTCCTGTTTATAGAAAGTACAACTGATCAGCCGTTTCATACAAACAACATATTATACCCACTGACTCCAGTCACCCCTGCTATCTATATCCTGATCAGTGGCCTGTTGTTTCACTTCTGGTGTCCTCTTTCATTAAGTGACAGGGCAAGACTTGGAGACGGCATTCAGGCAGATACACACAACCTGATAAAAAAAAAAACTCACACGGTTACTTCTAATCTTTAAACGTAAAGATGCACAGCGATTTCAACAAAAGACCACATCAGTATATGTATGTCATTCTGCTGACAATACTGTTATGTCTGCTGTACATCTAAAAATAATTTCACCTGTTTCTGATGTCATTTATCGTTTATTTGTTTCACAGAACAGAGTCAAGCTCAGAAGAAGACAACAGAAAAACGAGGGCACAGTGTCTCAGAAATCCTCCAAAATGAGCCTTCTAAATCTCTGACTGCCTGTTCCAGACATCCAGAAAGTCCTTTGTCTCAGACCTACCTCTCAGCAGTTTTTCCTCTGTGTCCTTGTGTTGTGTACCCAATCCAGCCTCTCTCAGAATCTATCCACGGTAGTGGATATGCACATTTATCACATCTGCCATCCTGTAGCCCTCCAGCCGCCAAAAGGCCAGCTCTAAGTAGCCCTGTCCCCTCTAGTTTGCACTTTCAGCACAGTCATGGCCCTGTCATAGCAAAACCTTACCCAGAGCTCTCTCTGACTGATCATTCTGCTCTGAAGCACGCTCCCTATCTCTTGCCTCCCTTCTCACTTGGCCTTAACAGCATTCTACCTCATTCATACCCATTCTACAGTGATCAACTGAAACCTCACGTAACACTCCCATCTCATTTATTGCCTTTTGATGGCTATGTACACCTCTTCCATCCTCTAGCCAATGGACACAAAGACTTGACCCTTGTACCATCCAGTACCAAACAAGACCTCATTCTTTCACCAACCAGTCAGGACCAAGACAACAAGGACCTCATATACAAAAGGACAAACTACCTCAGAATCCCTTCAGATGACTTGAGAGATTTCAAAGACTCCCCTTCCAGCAATGTCAACACAGACCTCTCTATACCCGTCACATCCAGTGCCCCATCCATGGTCACCTCACTGTACGGAGCACTGCCCTCTCTTGCACCTGGAGGATGCTCACCACCAGTGGGCATGCCCGCCTCCTCGGACTGCCTTCCTTCTAAGCCTACTTCAGCTGCTCAGAGCAATACTGAAGATGCAATAAATTGCAGGGAAACCAAACAAGAGGGGCAGATAATTGGATACAAGACCTTGTCTTACCCTCTCACCAGGCAGAATGGAAAGATCCGGTATGAGTGCAATGTCTGTGGAAAGGTCTTTGGGCAGCTGTCCAACCTTAAGGTCAGTTCCTCTTCAAAGCATGGTGGGGAAAATGCCTGAATTAACCAGACACCATAGTAAATTCTCATCTCTGATATGCTGCCCTCAGGTCCATCTGCGAGTACACAGTGGAGAACGTCCCTTCAGATGTGAAACCTGCAACAAGAACTTCACTCAACTAGCCCACCTGCAGAAACACTACTTGGTTCACACAGGAGAGAAGCCACATGAATGCAAGGTACAGCTATAAATACTGAAGAACTAGTTTGACATTCTGGGAAATAAACTTATTTGTTTTCTTGCTGTTTGTTGGATGAGAAGATCTGAGCAAATCTCAGATAACTACATAACCCCCGATTACAGCATGACTAGATGATTTCACAACAACAAAGACTGACAAACCATTACTTTAATGTCCATAAATCATGCTCATAGTATTTGACACTGATTTTCACTACATTAAAGCATCAAAATTCGAACTGACTATGACTGTGACAAAGTCTAAAAGATTACAAAAAGATTTTTCTTATGTTTTGACACAGGTATGCCATAAGCGATTCAGTAGCACAAGTAACTTGAAGACCCACCAGCGACTACACTCAGGAGAGAGGCCTTACCAGTGCAAGCTCTGCCCAGCCCGTTTTACTCAGTTCATCCACCTCAAGCTCCACAAACGCCTCCACACTGGAGAACGACCTCATCGGTGCCCCCACTGCCCCTGTGCCTATCTCCACTACTACAGTCTTCAGGTGCACCTCCAAGGCTTCTGCCCTCTCTTGCCCTTGGCCTCCCATGTACACTCGCCAGAGAAGCTACACCGAGTCAACTCTGAGATCGAGAGGTTTGACATGAGTGAGGAGGCAGAGCAGCTGGAAGCCATGGCTGCAGAGGCTGAGCTGGACAAGGGAAATATTATTGATCTAATACAGAAGATGGAGTCTCACACCTCACACCAGCATGATGGTGCCAGAGAGGAGACTGAGCCGAACAGCTACAAATCAGTAAAGGAGCATTCTGATGTTCAGCTGCATCATGGCCGCCCTCTACCTCTGCATCGAACCAGAATCAAGATGGAATCAGGCTGCATATCAAAGTCCTAAAACAGCAGTGCTAATCCACTCATATAATCCTTACAGGTCAACTCAGCGGCTGTTTGTTACTGCCCTATTTGAAGTAAAGCCTTATCTCAATCATGGATTGCCTAGTTTGTAAAGAATCAAGTGTTTACCCATGTGGACTGGGACCAATGATTTAACAGATTTAATATATACACTAACAATCAAAAGTGTGGACACACCTTCCTTTGAATTGAATGGGAAAGAATGTTCAGACTTTTGACTGGTAGTGTATATCTTTAATTTATTGCCTTCTGCTAATATCATTTTTATAATGTATATAAAAACAGATTTGTTACATTTTATTCTATTTGTTTTGTATACCTGGAACATCTTCTTGGAACAATAACATGTGATTATGCATAAACAAAATTTAGCTTTTATTTGTGGTTTCAATGTGCGAGAAGGAGTGTTTCTGTTTGTGTATGCAGGCGTATTTATGTCTCCCAGTTAAAGTGAAAATTGCTGTACAGGCATGGTGTAAATGAGCTAAGTGTTAAAGTAATAACAGCTGTTTGTGTGGGGCTTAGATACTTGTCTTTGTGTGAATGCGTTGTGCTGGTGTGGGGAGTTGGTGACGTAGGAAAATATCCTGTTATGAGTCTTAGGGTACTCAACATCAGTATGTGTTAATCAGTCACCCTGGAAACAAAAAGAAAACAAACTCCAAAACACACACACATGACAAAATTATCTATAGCAATATGATCCTGCCATTAATCTTGTATGTACACCTCCATATTTCAGTATCGGTATTAATCAGTTGGCAGACAATAAACCCACAAGGGATGACTCTACAGTTTATTCTGAGATATAAAAACACAGATGGTAGATTATTTCTGAGTAATGCTTCTGTTAACTAAAACACAACAGTAAAAATAGAACTGGCATTTACCAACAATCTGTCTTAGGAAAAATTATGACTGTGGTAGAAATAAATAAAAATACCACAAAAAAATTTGCAGCAGAAGGACAAACAGTTTGTGCACTAGTGTTCTGTGACTCTCACATTACAACTTAACAAGTGTCTGGTGGACTAGTTTTAAAAGGCTATAGTGAGACAACTTCCAATAGGTTACAGTGCATGCATTCACTGGTAAAAGTCATAAACAGATCATTTAACTGAGTAAACATAGTAATACCAGAGTGTAGAAATGGGGTACATTAAAAGTCCTACATTCAAAATGTTAAGCTGTTGTTAAGTAAGTTTACAAACAGTATCCAAATATACTTAAAATTCCAAACGTGAAATTGCTCATTATGCAGAATGGCACATATTGGATCTTAAGTATTATGTTCATCACATTTAATGTTGCAGCCAAGCTGTTGTGTTGAGCTAATGCTGCCTTATAATCTGAAGTACTAGCTTGTGAATTTCCCACTGGGGATCAACAAAGCCTGATGAAGTATTTTGTTTTATGGATCTGATTCTGTAATGTAGCTAGTAATGAGGCTAAAGTTATCAAATAAATGCAGTGGAGTTAATAGTACACGATTTGCTTCTAAAATATGGTAAAATCAAAGTATGCATGAAGTAGCTGAAAATGAAAATTCTCAGGTACAGATGCCCGACTTAAGCAGTCTTGAAGGCTACCCTTACTTTCCACCACTGCCTTCAATACTTAGTACCCACTGGGTCACAGGGTACAGAGCAGCTGCTCTTTCACCTTCCTGCAAGTACACCAATCAAAAAAATCTTAATACAAGCCAAACCTAAAGCGTGACCTGTGACCTGTGACCTCTCTGGACGCAGGAAGTTCAAACTCACTCAAGCATCCCGTCCATGGTTAGGAAATAATCAAGATATAACTCAAATTAAATACTATGGCAGGCTATTTATGGTTTAGCTAGGTGGTCAGCGTGGTGTACAGGTGAGGTTCTCCAGGTGAGTTTGGTTCCCCTTTAAAACGGCGCTGTGACGTCAGGTATTTTTGACGGGGGGCAGGCAGCGGGAGAACAGTGGGCGGATATAGCTGCTCTACCCGAGGAGAAGGATGCCCAAGAGGAAGCCAGCGGTTTATTCTCTCTCCCGTTTATCCGTATCATGATAAACGCTGCTGGGGCGGTGGGGCGCAGGATGCCGTCGGCGGCCCGGCGGAGGAGCGGGTGCTGGATAGCTTGGTGCCAGGCGGTCCTTTTCGGCGTGTCGGGGCTGGTTATTGTGGCCGAACGGAGCGCTCGTAAGTGGGCAGCGCTAGCGGGCTGCTAGTGTCTTGGTGTGCGAGCTGAAATTGAATCTCTTGATAAAAACAGTAAGGACTTTCAAGACGTATTTGTGTTGAGGGCTTTCAGGTCGCTATAATAAATGCAAAATGTTGCTGCTAAGCCCCGGTGCTTCGTGTTGGAGCAGCAGATGTAGTTAGAAATAAAATTGAAATGGTGCTGCTATAGCACAACTGTTAATAACCTTCCTGATTGAGCTGTTTATAACCTATAGCAGATGGGTTCTGGTGCCCCAGGTCCTCCAGGTGACATGCAGCAGAACCACACAACATAAAGACAAATACATTCATAATAACCTTAATTAAACTTTAGCCAATAGAAGCAATGAAAGCATGTTCTTGATATATCATAGGGATAATGCTTAGCTTTTAGATT